CTCAAGACATTTCCCTGTGTCTCATTTTCGAATGTCAGTCCACCATAGTACCTTATGATTCTTTACAAATGTATCTTTTCTTTTATGTATACTGAGAGCATTTGCACCAAGACAAATTCCTTGTTTGTCCAATCACACTTGACCAATAAAAAGAATTCTAATTCTAATTCAGTTTCAGCATCAACACTGGCACCCTCATCTACTGGCTGTATTCACCCAAGACGCTTAGTTGGTTTAGTAAAAACCAACAGATGCATTTGCAAGCCTGCCATCTGAAAGATGTAAGGCTGAGTCAACCTTGAGCATCATCAGGATTGAACTCCAGGCTGTAGGCAGAGTTTGCCTGCAATACTGCATTCTAACCATTGCACCGTCAAGGGTCCAAGGACATGGTGATGGTGGCAGAGCCAATGATGTCACTTCAGTATGATTGCCCAATTACTAAAACACAGGAATGCATTCATCACAATGAGCATTTCACAATATATAACCATATCTGGAAAATGAGCCTGTTACTATGGAAGTTCCTTAAATGAACTTAAATAAGTTCCTTTAAATAAGTAACTTATTTAAATAAGGGAAACTTACATTTAAGTTCCTTTCAAATTATTTATCTAGTCAATATTCCTGTGAAACTATACAGCACAAGCTGCAAATAACCCAGGCCAATTTTTATGAAATAAAGCAACAGCTTTAGAGCTCTTATTTTCTCATATTTTTCATCAAGACCCAATTTAATTATACTTGGCAAGAATGTTTTTTAAAAGTATCTGGAGTGTGTGATGCTTGAATAATATTCCTCGGTTAATTTAATAGAGGCTTAAACTAAGTTTATTTATGTATTCTAAAATAAGTATTTTATTTTCTTGCCAATATATATGCAGTCCTAGAGAAGACGTTTCAATTATAAACAGTTTCAATTAAATAGAACTGAATCAGACAAAGTGATCTAAGGACAGATTGTTACGAGAAAATATTTCAATAAAGCTGCAATGTTCATACTGGATTCACCTATCAAATCATTCCAAAATGTAGTTTGGTTGGTTTTGGTTTAGCATATTGTGTGAACCCAGTTGTTCCCTTTTTTTCATGTTACTATGATATAATGGTTTATTCAGTAAAGCATGGTTAATTACACCATGGTTTAGCATGTGTGAACACATTGAGTTCATAACAACACACTAGACCAGGGGTGTCAAACTCAATTTTATTGAGGGCCACATCAGGGTTGTGTTTGACTTCAGGGGGCTGGGGTGGGTGTGGCCAGCATGACATGTTGGGAAAGGTCTGCCAGAAAAAACGGGTTCCAGAGCTCAATTTTTGGCTGCAGTGACCTCCTGCAATCCTCTGCCAGTGAAAACAGAGCTTGGGGGGGTATACATGGCCCTCACAAGCTCCCTTTTCAGCTGGGACAGCCTCTTGCAACCCTCTGCCAGCAAAAACTGAGCTCAAGAGGGCCACATGCGGCCCTCACAAGCTCCATTTTTGCTAGCAGAGGCACCACAGATCGGTCCTTCATTGTTTCCAGGGCGGCCCTGCGGACCAGATCTAAGCAACCCATGGGCTGAATTCAGCCCCCGGGCCTTGAGTTTGACATTCCTGCACTAGACCATGAAATGATTTGTTTGGATTAGGCATAGTTTGTTGCGTGAATCATGGCTAATAGTCTTAATATGATGTGTGTAGAGCTAGATTAGTGAATTAGATTAGGCATGCACCCACCATTGATATCCTACTTCTCAAAAAGAAATTTATACCTGAGTTAGAACAGAAACTGTACAGATTCACCCAAAATATAGGAGTTGAGGGAGCCATTGTAAAGAAGGAAAGAGGCACTTGTGCAGCCTACCTTGGCAAAAGTATACTTTCAGCACTTAAAAGTCGCTTTTTAATGTAAGAACAATAATCCCTTGTATTTGGGGATGTTTGTTTTCTAATGCCTCTCCCATTTTAAAACATCTGTCTGTTCTCGGGAGCTTTGACAATTTCTCTAGTGGATGTTTATATTTCAGCTCCACTGCTGAACAGGTTTAAGATTTAAGCAGCCACAATTATGCTTTGAGGCTAACAACGCAATGAAGATAAATGGGAGAAGTTTATTTCTCTTTGGGACTCATTTGGTGCTCCACACCTGAAACCTGTGACAGGCAGAAAGACAAACTTTTCCCCTTAATAGCCGTCTTTCAGATTAAAAGAAGTTTTAAGAAGGGAGGGGGAGGTCAATCATGTCTGAAGATCCAGAGTCCACCGAATAAAGAGGAATAACGAGAGCCATTCACTGAATTTCAAAATCTCCAAGCTTCCTGTTTTTCAACACTAATGGACTCAAAGTCTGGAGAGGCTTAAGCATCTTCGCAGAGGTGCTCTTTGTGTCATTAGTAGATGCAACAGCACTCAAGAGTAGCAACCTTAACAGTTACACCACCCCCAGGCAACCTGCTAACGTCCATTTAGGCTGTGTGTGTGTGTGTGCGTGTGTGTGTGCAAGGATTTTGCTAATGGCAATTTGTTCCATCGCTATCTGTCAGGGATGGCTTGAGTTTGTTTAAGCTCATGCTTGTGTATGAGCTGATATTATCTCGCCACCTTGTCTTCTGTCAGTTTTCCTTTCAACTGCCTTTGATTTTTACAAGCATCCAGGTCTCCCCCAGTGATGCTTGTCTTGTCTTGGCAGAATACGTCCGAGATGTGAGAGATTTAGATTTATTATTAGTGCTTGGGTTTTACTCAGATGTGGCTGCGTTGTCAGATGTTACATCTTTTCTATCCTGCTCTACGGAGTGGAGAGTTGGCCTCTGGCAGAAAGCCACTTGAAGAGACTAGAAGCATTTGAAATGTGGATTCACAGGTGGTCATTACATATAAGTTAGCTTGACAAAATCAGAAATGATGGGATAAGCTGCCTGGGAAAGCCAAGGGAGATCATCAAAACCATTAAAAAGCAAAAGTTAGAATATTTCGGACATGTGAAGTGACACCCGGAAAAATACAGCATGCTCCAAGGAAAGATTGAAGGCAAATGAAGTCCAGGCAGAAGAACATCATGGCTTCAAAATCTAAGGGACTGGTTTGGACAAAACTCAGCAGCACTTTTTTGTGTGGCTGTTGATAAAAATAGGATCGCCAACATCCGATGACAGATATGGCACAAGAAGTGGCTGCATCGTGCAAGTTGGAGTAACAGGAAGAGTGTCAATGCTTTCTTATCCCCAAAGCATGGTGAGAGACTACCCTTGTTTCTACAGTAATGTCTTCAATTTATCCTAGACCCAGGCATGAGGCAGATCGGGCCTATTATCTGCAACATATGTGTGTGTGTACACAAGTGCATTATGAATCTTCAAGTAAATCTTGAGTCCTTGGCAAGATTTTTGGAACTCTTCTATCACTGCTTTCTTTTGATCATCGGGTGAGAATGACTGATCTCAAATAGCCATGACAAATTTATGTCAAAGGTAGGACTAGAACTTAGTCTCCCCATTTTTAATGTGGCAATTTGAACCATTGGACCAGACTACCTTATGTCTTTAATTTCATACCGGCTTAGAAAAAAAACAATTTCTCTTATATTTCAGCTCTGGATCGTGAAATTTAGCTATTTTCCATAATATAATGAAAACACCGAATAAAAGCAACACATTCCTGATAAACTAATGTATCATAAATCACTTCATAATCTCTACCATAATAACAAAAGCATAAAGTGACAGACAGCAGAATACCAAGCAACTTAAGTTTTACTTTGCAAAGGCTCCAACAAAAATAAGGCTTAGGAGAAACATGACAGCATTTCGGTATTTGAAGGACTGTCATGGGAAGAGAGTGCCAACTTAACTCTGCATAAGAGCTGAAGGGGAAAACAACAAGCAATGGTGGAAACTTACTGGAAGGAAGGATCCACACAAGAAAAGTTTCCCAATAAGAAAAAGAATTAATAAATGAGATAGCTTGCCCTGTAAGGATACAAATAATTTATCTCTGGAGGAATTCACGAAATCTTTGCTTCCTGCTAAGTTCAACAGCCACTTACAGAAAATGATATGAGGCCACCCTTAACAGCACAGTTCTCCAATCTTTCCAGGTTGGCTAATCAGAGCGTCCAGCAAGCACAGGCAGCTCCAATTGTGTGGGTGGTATGAACACACAAATGTCAACCACCATGTTCATCATGCAGTTGCAAACAGCTCAGTAGAGGCCATATGGTGGAGTCCTCCACCCTACAGCAAGGTTCCACACACATTTGGCAAATGCAGCCAGCCAGTTGTAGCATAAACACTCTGCACACACCCATACTGTCATCATAAATAAAACACATACACACAAGCTCATTTAGTTTCTATAACCTAGCTGCAAATATACCATACCTGATAAAGGAATTGCAATCCATAAATTAAAAACATCCATTTTATAAAATATAAACTCCCCAAACAACACTTATACAAACTGAAGGAATATTTCCTGTTTAAAGGAAATCAGGCAAAATCTAACTTCTTTTGAAGTCATGGTTATCTTTGCCCACTTCACAGAACACACCAGAAAGCTACACATCACATCAGTTAGTCACATGCCAGACTCTTAGCTTGGACCAGTAAGACAAAATAAGCTTTTCTTCTATTTATATTGACACCTTCTGCTGACTTCCCAGAAGACACCAGGAGGATGCAGATCATCCAATGGTTCAGTTCTGAAGTAGTGATCTGTCTCTAACTTGAGCTGGCCACCTGACTTCAATTTATTTCCCAGAATACATCACCAATATGCAAATTAACCCAATAAATGAAATCCTAGGGCTCCTTAAACTAGCAGACATAAAGTGAAACTGGATTTACCTCATAGTTTCTTGTCAGACCTGACTGGCAACTAGTCCTAGAATACAGAACTGGATATACTCACCCTAATAGCGTATATACCTGTAACTCTTTGTTCTATTGTGGAAAAGACTCACAAACTTCTTTTCAGGTTTATTAAAAAATATTAGTGAAATATCTTGTTGCTTTGCCCTTTCATTGTAATCTTTAACTGACTTGTAAGAAAAAGTGTATCCCTCACATGAACCACCAGTAACCATGTGACCTTTAATGGCAACAAATGT